TGGACCTGAAAGCAGGTTATCATTAGATCAAAATTCCCCCCAATGATCAGCATAAGACGGCATTTGCGTTTGAAAGAGGACATTACGAGTTTACAAGAATGCCTTTCGGCTTAAAAAACGCGCCGATAACGTTCGAGCGTCTTATCGATGAGTTTTTGAGGGGGATCGACGAAGCTGTGTGCCAAGTCTATATGGATGATTTACTAGTATTCAGTAAAACGGAAGAGCAGCATGTGGAACATTTACGAAGTGTCTTTGAAAGGCTGAGGATATTTGGTCTAAAATTGTCAATCGAGGGGCAAATCAATTTTTTAGGTCATACAATTTCGAAAGAGGGTGTGAAACCGGATAGAAGCAAGGTAGAGGCAATAGAGAGAATGGCAATTCCGAGAGACATAAAAGGAATACGGAGATTATTAAGGTCATTGAACTACTTTAGGCGATTTGTTCCTGAAATGGCAAAATATCTAGTACCTCTTAATAATCTACTCGAAAAAGGGACAAAAGTGGTAATTAGGCCCAAGATGGAAAACAATATTAGGCAATGCATGACGAGACTGCAAGATGAGGCAGTGTTAGCATTTCCAGACTTCTCGAGAAAATTTACCATCACAACAGACGCAAGTGAGTATGCATTGGGGGCGGTATTATCACAGGAAGGGGACAAAGGAGAAATACCAGTTGCTTACGCCAGCAGGCGCCTCACGGATACTAAAACGAGATAGCGCTCGGGAGCTGCTCCGGATCGTGTGGGCCATTAATCATTTCAGGCCGTACGTGTTTGGCAGGAAATTTAGAGTCCAGACGATCCATAGATCCCTCCAATGAGTGGGGAAGCTAAAGGAATCTTCCGCAAGGGTAACGAGATGTAAAGAGTTTCTGAGTCAATACAATTTGGAAATTGTATACAAACCAGGGAGGGAAAATATTGTGGCCGACTGGCTGTCCCGGGCGATAATGGTACACGCGATAGAAGAAGAAGAGAAAGGGGAACCATCTGGGGGTGTCAGGCAGTTGATGCGAGAATGGACACTCGAAGGAGAAGGAGAACGGAGTATGCAAGAAGGCGACGAGGAGACCCAGGAAGAGGAAACTTCTATGGACAAAAGACCCTTAGAAATAGAAGAGCTAGCAGAAATTATTAATGACAAACGGCATCAAATTATATGGAAGACAAGTACTACGAGGAAAACAAAGATTGAGTACGATGAGTATGGAAAGTGCAAGATCACTAAAATCTGGTCGCAACCAGAAATTAAAGAGGAATTAATTTGTCACTCACTCAAGGATGAGTCAAAACCAGACACCACCCATCACATATACGTAGGGAATGCGACGGTCTGGGATAAGATTAAGCGGTTATGGCGGTCAGAGAAAATCGGTACTGACAGAAGATTTATTCGATGCACCCTGAAGGTTGAAACACTGAATGATAAAGAGACCCAACAGGAGGTGAGGATCGCATATCACCAGGGTAAGACGAATCATCGAGGAATACAAGAGACATTGCGGGCACTTAAACGGAAGTATTTTTGGTGGGGGATGAGACAAAAAATCAAAGGTCATTGGGGCTTGTGAAATATGCTTAACCACTAAATACGACAGGCACTCTCCAAGAGCAATACAGGAAGAGACGCCCACAGCAGACTCACCATTAACGGACCTACAAATAGACACTTTTACTTGGAGGGGATATAAATGGGTCACGCTGATAGATCTTTTTAGTAAGGCAGCAATGGCGTACCTGATCCAGGAGCGGTCGTCAGAAGCAGTCTTGGGGGCTCTAAGAACATGGTTCCAGTTTTATGGCGTACCTGACCGGATTGCATCAGATGGGAGAAAGGAATTTAACAATGCCATTACGCGAGCAGAGGCAAAGATCTTGGATATTACATGGCATATCAACACCCCAGGACATCCAAAGAGTTGAGGAGGCATAGAACGACTACACAGTACGCTTAGTGACCACCTTAGAATATATCACGCAGAAAAAGAGCTAGAACCCGGTGTGGCGATGTCGAAGGCTATCACGGCATATAATCATTCAATTCATACTGCAACAGGTTTTTCGCCTTTTGAGATCCTATTTGGGTTGCGGGAACAGCGCAGGGATAGCACGAATACGACAGTGGACGAGGAATTATCGGATTGTGTCTTTAATAATAGAATAGCATTGGTGAAACGATGGGAGAAAGTCCGTAGTAAAATTGAGAACGAAAAAAGTAGGAGGGTAAGAAAAGATAACTTAGGGCTGAAGGACGTACTGGGCTATATTAAAATTGGAACGATAGTGTACAGGAGGAGAGGGTCCAATAGGGGCAAGGAGCTAGTGAGGTACGAGGGCCCATTCAGGGTGATCGCCATTCGTGAACATAACATTGTGTCTATAGAGAGCTTGAATGAGCCTAAGAAGCGCAGAACAGTCCACAAAGCAACCATAAATGGATGGAATGTCCTCATTATGGGACAGGAAGTATTTTTGTAGTTATATTTTTGCACTATTGCAGATTTTTTTTATTGTTTTTATTGCTTAACCATTCTTTTGCATCGAGTGAATAAAGTAACCACAGTGCAAAGTTCTCATTGTTAACCAGTGTAAAATTTTATTGGTGAAATAGTATGAAATAATGACGCTTCACTCCGGACTTGACCTACCTGTAAGATTTGAAGAATATTCATAAACTGGCAGGGGGGAGTTAAGGTCCGGTGTGAGATCGATAAGGCTTCTAAGACTTAATATTATTTCTTTCAATTTAAAATTAACTCATGTTAAAAATATACTGTTATAACCTTCTGTGAGATAGATACTACTGTTTTGTTAAAAAAAATTATTGAATTATTTCCAGTTATTTGTTTCTTCATTTTTCTATTTATCGAAGCCAATAGTTAACTTTATATATATATATTATTTGTGATTTACAACTGACATTACGTTGTTCATGTTTTAATAATAGTAATATTAAAATATTTATTATAATTACTTAATCGTTGCTTTAAAATGGATCACATTAAATCCAAAAGAAAAAAAATATAATTAAAATCCTAACAAATCTTTATAGATTGAAATAAGTTATAAATGACGTATTAATCATTTTATAATAGGTCTTGAATACAAATAAGTACATTTTTATATTTAAAATTATTAACCTTCGGCACTTTTATATTTCTATTATTTACATAATTATTTAAGCTATAATTTACAATTAAAAAAATATTATCAAGGTTTTCTCACAATATTTACTGGATATAAATTATCTAAAATAAATTTACTATTTATCAGTTGTTGGTGTATCAATTAATTTTTAATTTTTTGATAAAATAAATTTCAATATGATTTAGGTAGTATGAGTAATATTTTAAACATCACTGTTTTTTTTTTCTTTATTCTGTTATCAATAGATTAATTTGGTGGAACCAATCGTTGAAGGATGATATATTTATAAACTTTTAAATTATTTAGATGGACGAATTTGTGTCAACAAAAACCAATCAAAAAGATCAATTTACTAGTGTATATAAAAAAAAAAAAAGATTGTTTTTCAACCTTTTATCTATGATATAAAATACAATTAATACTCATAGTATAGTGCATTGTTATCTACCGTCATTAGCTATCTGCTAGCCAATTGCTCGGTCCGACGCAGTGGTACCATTCTTTGGGATGGCTATCAAAGAACACTTGAACCGTAATTTAAATTTCCGCAAAATTATCAATTTCTTTCCCTTGAATAAAATAGCCCATGGATCTAAATAATTAGTAATCCGAAGGTGCGAGGTCTTTACCATATGGTGGATAAGGCAGGAGTTCGAGTCCGTGAAGTTCTTTAAACTTTTCTTTGGCCCGACAGGAAGTGTGAGGACGAGCATTATCTTGTTGGAATAAAATTCCTTTTCGGTTGATCTAAGTAGGATAAGGCTCTGACGACTTCGCGTACAATCTTTCCAGTTGTTCATAGTAGAGTTCAGAATTCATAGAGCATCCATCAGAAATAAATTCATAATGAATAACACCTTCAAAATTCCAAAAAACGCAAAGCATGGAATTTTTATTTTAAATTGCCCCCTTGCAGCAACCGGAAAAGCAGTTTTACCGTGACCTAGCCATTGCTCATGGGTATTCGGATTTCGCCAGTAAACCCTCTTTTCATTATAGGTGTCAATCTTCCACTAAAATCTCATATCAGACGAATTTTCACAAATTTCTAACGTCTCAGCTGATTGCTGACGAGTAAGTTCGTGAGGGACCAGCTTACTGTTCTTTTTCACCTTCCCCATGGAGAGGAGATGGCGACTAACAGTATCTTACGACACACCATACTCCCTGGCAAGTTCGGGATACTTGTGGACGGATTTGAATCAACAGCTTCCTGCAGAACCTCATCAATATGCATTAATGGTCGCCCGGAGCCTTCCTTCCTTTCAAACGTCGTATCTCCATTGCTAAATATTTCAAACCAACTCTGCGCAGTGCACTGGTGAAGGATACCTTCCCCTTCCTATTTAACTATTTAACGACCTGTTTCACTGGCTGTGAAATTATTTTTCTAATAATGCCTTAAAATTGCGAGAATTTCGTCGGACATTTATGTTTCTTCTTTGAAACAAATAACTAAACTGAGCCTTTTTTTGAGGAAGTCGAATGGGATTAAACAAGCTTAGAGAATTCTCTAACGGGATTATTAAGTATTGGTAAGTATTAAATAGGATTAAAATATTTATAGTCCTTAGTAATCTTGGATTCGATAAAACGGTCATTTTTTTTATACACCCCATTATATGCTATCGGAAAATTATTTTTCCTAATATAATAAATTAAATGAAAAAAAAATTGATCATCATCAGAACTTGATATAGTTGTATATTGTATTTATCAATTAAATGTTTTTATTCTTAGCTTTCATCCAACATCATTCTTGATGTCCCCAACATTCATATCTCATAGCAATGAACTTCTGAATATTGTATTCTTTGATAGAATAGTTACTGACCGATTGGCTCCAATTTAAGTGGTGTTTAGAAGTGGTTGTGATAAGGCTTTAAGTAATTTAATGTCTATTGATAATATGATCGTACTATTTTAGTTTATTAACGATGCTTGTTACTAAGTGTCTTAGGATTCGTATAGTTGTTTTTTTATTGCTGTTTACTTTTTTTTTCATTACATTCTTTTACATTTTAAAATCACCGAGGAAGGTAAAACTTTTGCCTAGTTAAATTAATTGCCTGTTTATAAGAATCAAATTTTTAATGTATTGCGTTATATATTTATAATATTCACGTTACTCGATCCAAGCCAAAAATTTACAGTAAAAATTATTAGAGCTTTTTTAATCACAAATGTTGACTAAATTTAAATCTTAATTAGATTGTAATCAATTAATTATCAATAAGTTAATTATAACAACATTTGGTAGTAGGTACTTGATACTTTAAATTTGTAACTATAATTTTCTCTGTTATGTGTTTTATGTTGAACATAAAGCTGTTGAACATTTTGATTTTATGTTAAGAAAGTGACAAAACTCAATTTTTTGTGTTTATTTAGGTTGATCATCTCCTCAACAGTGAGATAGTTGTTCCGAATGTTGGATCAACCTATTTGCTAATAAGCGTTTATTATGAGTGTCTTTGCCCTGATTCCAGAAGTTTTTTCATTCGACAGTTGCTACCTTCAGTTGAAAAAGTTCCTAATTTGTTAAAAATTGATTACATCCCCTATGGAAAAGCAGAGGTATTATATTTCATTTTAATTTTAAATTTTATTATTCTGTAGTGTGTCAAATCTTTAAGTGCTAATTATTACTCCAATACTGTTTAAACCCCAGTTGCCAAATGTCCTATTGTAACTCTTTGTAGGTAAATGTCAAATGCCATTCTACCTTGTCCAGCCAAGATCCCTTGTTCACCATATAAATGGGATTTTGAGAAGCCAAGGATTGATATCTGTTCACAGTATGACCCTCCTTTATTTATATAGTGATTTACAACTTTGGCAAACTCCTCACTGATTATTTTCAGTTTCAATAGGGACATTTATTAGCTCTAGTTATATTGCTGCTTTTGACTCCCATTAGTTTTAAAGTCGTAAAAAAATCCCCAACCAGTCCATTACAGTGTGGGTCGGAGCCTTACCAGACAGTTCATTCACTTATGTCTACTTTTGAACAATCCTGGCCATTCCATTTACAGTGTGATCATGAGATCTTGTGCCACCTATGGAAGGGTAATGACATTTGTACAGTACTACCTCTTGGTATTATTGCATCATGTATGCCTCTATTCTTTGGGCTATCATTGGACAGCTGTGTTTTTTTTTATTTTCACTTACCTATATATGCAATACATAATAAGGGTAAGTACTGAGATCATAAAAATTTTCGAGTCTGAGTTTTTAACGGAAATACATGTTTTGAGGTTTCTTGGGTTCAAATAACCAAGTTCCGCAAAATGGTCTGTGTGTGTGTATGTATGTTATCAGTCTAGCTCAAAAATGAAAGGTCTTATAAAAGTGAAATTGTATATTTAAGGTTTTTATAAGCTTTCGATGTTACAGCAACATTTTCTCCAAAATCGGCAAACCGGAAGTGATACTTTATATAATCGATTCAATTCATTTTTAAGAATTTTTCAAAAACGGCTTTAATGATTTTAATTAAACTCAGTATATCAGTGTATTTTAAGCATTTTTTAATATTATGTAGATTTTATTCTCATTTATGTTTTCTATCAGGGATTAAATGGCTAATTTTCAATATTGGCTTCTTCTAAAGTACCTTTATTTATTTTTTATTTTTGAAACAATGGATGGTTTGACATTAATCTTTGATATAAAAAAACGGTACTAGTTCACAAGAGTTCCGCACGGATTACGCGTGGTTCACAATCACTTCGATCACACTTGTTCATGGAATCCCGAAAACAGCCGAATGTTGTCGTCTTTTATGACGTCAGCTATTGTCCCTCTTAATGCATTTTTGAAAGAAAAAAAAAAACGTATTCCCTTCGTGGAACTTCCTTATTAAAAATGTATTAACAAATTGTGTATTTACTTAATTAGTTAATTATTAATTTGCATTATAACGGTCATTACTGTGAAAGAAAAAGAAAACATATATAAAATAATGTTTGAGTCTTTCTTCAAGGCCTGTAAAAAAAAAAATGCTTTTAGAAATAAAATTTTTATTGACACGTGCTTACATGTAGTGGCTATAAATACGCATATACTGTTGTATATTATCTATTATAAATTGTATAAAAGAGTTTTTTATCATTTGGATAATAAATAATCCGAATGGCGATTATTGTAGTCATTCGTAAAATAAAAAAATAAAAAATCGTGTTTATTTTCGAGCAAGGAATTAACGTATTGAGGAAAGAACTGAAGAAGAATATCTGATAATTCCGAGATAATGAATAATGGAAATCATAAATAAGAAAAATATTGTGAAATAGCATTCAGAGATGTAATAATTAAATGGTTTTATCTATTAATATTCCTTTTTCATATATATATATATAATATATGTGCATGTTCGATTCAGGATATATAATGTTTAGTCTAAATTTCTAATTTAAGTCAATACCTTAAATAACGTTAATATAACTGAACATGGTTAAGGTTATAGAAGTACTTAAATGGCGGGAAAGTTAATCGTAACTAATTCAAGAGATCGGTCGCCTTCGTTCTCTGTCGGATAAACCCGAAGGCATTCGGGATTCCATGAACAAGTGTGACCGAAGTGATTGTGAACCATGCGTAATCCGTGCGGAACTCTTGTGAACTAGTACCAAAAAAACAGTTAAATATGAGATATGAAAGAATTTCATTATTAACTAAAGGAGAAATAAGAGATCGTAACGGATAGTAGTTTTAATAGAGGAATCAAAGGAATACGAGTTTGCCCGTGGTCATCCGAGCTCACCCGAAAGATTACAATAAGCTTCCATACATAACATGAGCTTCATATAATATGGACTCTGACAATATTATGTTCATATACATATACGGTTTTCATAAATGCTATTATTGGTATTATTTAATATTTAATTGTATAGAATACAGTGATATGAAAATTAAAATTTGTATTTATGAGGGTATTTAAACAAATAAAAATACCCACAATGAATTGAAAATAAATATAGTGTCAATAATTTTTACTTCCATTTCCCCTTTATTTCAAAATATTTATTTATGCTAAGGAGAGAGTAGTAAGTGAAAGTCGTGTGATGCGTACATCAGATTTTTTAAATTGGTATCTATGCTTCTAAATGGCCAACTAGACAGAAGTTCTGTCACTATAAATCAGCCCTCAACCTCTTTTCTGAATATAAAGAAAAATCATAAACCAGATTTAAAGTTTTTAATTAAAAAAACTTATGTTAATTAAGAATTAGAAATGAGTTCTTCTGCAGATACTCATTTAAAATAAGTAATTTTAAATTCACATTTCCTCCCTTAAAAGTAATAAGTTCTTAAAAGAGAGCAGAAAGTCTTCTCTTAGGGCTAGGATGATTTACAATTGATTGTCTTATAAATGCCCACTTTGATTCTCATCTAGCTCTTCTTTGGTCTTGTCATCAACAAGACTTTAGATAGATTAGTTAAAAAGTATTCAAGTCACTTTTTAAAGTTGAAGTTTTATTGGCACTATTTTTTTATATTAATATATTTTGGAAACTCTAGTAGGTACCAGGTGCCCAATTGATATAGTTGTCCTCTACCATCTAGAAGTCTGATGGGAGTTTATTCTGTATTTCACACCGGTAGCTCAACTTCTTCTACTAGTGGGTCATATTTATTTGCTCTAATATGGTTCTTCATTTAACTGGATTTTTGTCCTCAGACTTTCATGAACGTATAGACCAACACCACCACCTTTTCAGTCAGTTCGATCATGATGAATGAGGGCATAATTAGGGATGGATATGGAGGATGAAAAATTTGGTTTGAGCCAGGTTTCTGAAACGGCTATATGATAAAAATTATGGAGGAAATAATCAAGAGATTCGTCTAAGTTGACCAGGAGGGATTGGGAGTTAACTTGGCACGTTAATAGGATATAAGTCATAAGGATAAAGAAGAGTGTACATCACTGAAAGTTAGGAAAGGAAAGGGACAATCGTAGTTGTAGTGGCTAAAGCGTTCACATGTAAACAGCCAATTCTGCTTAACCTTATCCATAGGCAGCTGGTGCCTTGTTAATTAATTTATTTTAAAAATGTCAAATGATAAAAATCCATGTGGATAAATAAATGCTGATTAGCAGTAATTCTATATTGAGAAAAAAATAATAAATGAAATGACACATGCTACAAAAAAAAAATGAATGAATTAAAAATATTTCTACTAACCATAAAATTAAATTAATAAAATAATGAAAGAAACAAAATTTATCTTGAAACGTTAAACATAAAAAAGAAACCTTTGAATTAGAAATTAAAATTTAGATGTGTGAATTCTATGGATGTTTTAATTATTACAATTTAATGAAATGGAATTAATTTAATTGTTATAAAAATAATATTACAGAAGGCCCTCATAAATTTATATAAGTTTGTATTATATTTTTAAGGGAAATGGTGAAGCCAGTCTTGAACCGGGATCCTATACTATGTGACAACTGTACACTAGCCATTAGGCTATCACTGTCCTTATTGAATGAAACATGAACTAGTGTTTGAGTTGAAGTCCAGCCTCTATGTGAGGTGTCATAATTAGGACAAATAATGTTTTTTTGTTTCGCTTATTAAACTGAACACCCAGGGGTTCAGAAAATGTCTTTTAAAGGAGTGCCACTCATCTTAAAATGTTTATAAATTAAATAAAACGGATCACTTCCAACCGGCATATTTGCCAATTTAATGTCGCTGTGGTCGCCTGACGTCTTCTTGCAGGAGAGCAATGTCCCTTATGTGGGCCGTCACAACCTGGAGAGATAAAACCCTGGGTTTTCCAGGAGAACCTCATGGAGGTAGTCCTCTATGCAGCACCATACTGTCTTCATTTACCTTCCCTCGTATCATGTGACAGAGCGTGAGACGAATTGTGCTGGAAGTCACCGAAACCATCTCTGGGATATATTTGTTTGTATAATATATGAAAATAAAATGGTTTGCCATGCAATGGTGTGGAAACGAACAAACAATAAATAAAAATAACTAACTAAAAATGATTCCCCATATTATATGGTCACAAAAAAATGTATGCATGTTGGCCGCAACAGTATTTATCCAAATTTAAGTTTCCCAAGACTAAGAAAATGTGATGAAACTGAGAAATACAAGAGATACAATTATGAGTTTTAATGAAATAAATAAAATTTACAACTAAGTAAAATAAATTACTTTTGAGACTAAGAAGAAAATAATAAGATAATATTAAAGGTAAAGATAAAATGTGTGTACAGATATGAGTTTAAAAATAATGAAAATCCCAAGTATTTAAATTAATAAAAAGCCTAAAATAATATCCCTTGTAGGAAAGATTAAATATAGAGGTTAATATAAAAACAATATAAAACATTTCTGGTAACTAGGAGCTCTACAACCCATGAGAGGTTCTTGGAAAAATATTTTTACTTATTTTAAGATCGAGTTAAAATTTTCATCTTTCCTGTTATTGTTGGACTTCATAAGTGGTGCAATTCAAACAAACAAAGAAGATTTAAAAACTCTTTTTTCAAAATTTTATGGTTATTCTTTATTTTCCTTATGTTTTTCTTTCATAAATTA